ATTACTTCTTCTTAAAAAATTCAAAAAAATCGAAAAGTTCACCATATTTCTAGTATCAATGTGCTCAAACATAAGAAACAACATATATGGAAAGTTATACCTCGTTGGACAGTTCTCGCAATTTCCTATTCAATGCCACCACAATTGCCATTGAGCAAAACTCGAAAATAAGTTATAGAAATTTTTTTTGAGTTATTAGCTTTATTGCAAATTTGACTTTTGCATTGGATTCATCTCGTAAATATCTTTCCAACGATGTAATACACGTCACCTCCCATTTCTATTTGATCGGCCTCTTTGTGGTGGAACTTTATATTAAAACAAACCGAAATTTCAATCTCTTCACACTCTTGACACCAAAATCAGTCCTGAAAATGTTCCTTTTACAGATTTGAGTACATAGTCGTATCATACTCATAAATTCCAAAATACGCCGAACGCGAACAGAAAACTTTAATTTAATGTAAAAACAAATACAAAATACTTCTTTGGAAGTTCCTACTAATGGAAGTAATTTATCCATCCATCCATCCATACATACATACATTTTCTTACCTTCAACATTATTTGTTTCCAATATTTATCTACTTTTTATCCATCCATCCGTCCATCCATCCATCCGTCTGTCCATCATTCATCATCCATTCGTCATCCAGTCACCACCCATCCATTCATCATCCACTGACCATCCATCCACGATCCATTGACCATCCATCCATCATCCATCCACCATCTGTCCACCATCTGTCCACCATCTGTCCACCATCTGTCCACAGTCCATGGAAGAAAGAAAAACTGCTTATGATGATTGTAAGCTACACAATTCACGTGATGCAGTTACTCACCAACAGTTATTCGAAGTTTATAAGGCTAAAGCCAATAGAGTCAAGTCATTGATTAACAGTAGTAAAAAGAAGTCGACGGTCGAGAGTTTCAGTAGGGCCAACTCCATTCGTTCCAAGTGGAGTGTCATTGAGTCGCTCGGCTGTTGCAAAAATAGCAAAGATGAAAGTAACGAATCTAAAATCCTTAATAATTTTAATCTGGATGACATCAATTGTTTTTTCGCTTCAATTCATTCTTCCGATGGGGCCGATTTGGGCAATTTGTCACTTCCTACTAATATCAATTCTACTTTCTCGTTTCATGAAATAACCATTGATCAATTTTTTACCGCTTTCAAACAAATTAAGAGTAATGCAATCGGCAACGATGGCATTCCTCTTAAGTTTCTTAACTTAATTATTCCCACAATAGCCCAACATATTGTTCTCATTTTTAATTATTGCATTTCTCATAGTGTTTATCCAGCTGATTGGAATAAAATCATTATAAAACCTCTAAATAAAGTACCAAGTCCCCAATTAATTTCTGAATATAGACCAATTAGCATCATCTCAGTCATTCCAAAGATTTTTGCGATTCTCATGAATAGCCAGGTCACTGGCTATTTGGAATCAAACGCCATTCTCCACGAGCGGCAATCTGGTTTCCGGAAAAACCATAGTTGTACCACCTCACTTTTGAACATATCGCACACAAAAAATTATTTAGGTAATTTATGACGTTTTACCTGTCAACGTAGGTAGTAGCCAGTATTACCTATGGAATCTAGTAATTTTCATGTAACTGGGTAACATGTAGTATAAGTTACGGCGTATACGTCGTGAGTGAATTAAAATGAAAGACAAGAACCGCGTACTGTTGTTTTATACATATTTTTATCATGATTATTTCTTTAAATATTTTAATGGTTTTTATTTTGGTATTTTATATACATAGCATTATAGAAAAGAATTGAAATTTAATTGAAAGTGCTTAGTTTTGGATTGTAGCATCGGTGCTACATTGCATGTTTTCGTGGTTTGAAAATTTCAGCAGTAAATAAATATTTAAAAAATGGGTCATTAAGTTGACTATGATTGTAAATATTGATTAAAATTAGATTTCCATTGAATAATTGCTAATAATTTATATTTTCAAAGGAACTAAATCAAGATAAAAATGTTCATAAAATACAATTAAATGATGATGAACTAGTATGAGCTAGTACTACAATGGCGCTTGCCATTGTTGTGACAGTTGTTTTATCGCTGTGTCATATTTATAAATTATTATTATTAAATTATTTATTCAAACTATAGTTTGAATATGTTCTCAAATATTTATAAAATAAACGACGTTTTTCCATTTAATTTAAATAAATTTCTTTGTAAATTTTGTACAATGGTGATCATTTACGGTTACTATTGAATTGTATACTAGACAAATGCGCTGTTTTGTGCCTTTGTCAAGTTAGTTTTGTTCATTTGGTTTACTTTAACATATGTCCCATAAAGAATTGCACTACTTACAGGCGTTTATTACACTGCAATAACAAATACCAAAATATCAACCAATACACACGGCACGTCTATCAGTACCTCGAGACTACTATCAAACTCAATTCGACGAAATACCCCTCCCCTGACTGTATTCTCTTTGCAAAAGACGCACCATGGGCAGAATTTATGCCGTATTGGCATAAATGTAGGCTTCGTAATAAATAAATAAATAAATAAACGTGTTCACGGCGTTTTGAATTTTTAGTCGAACACTTTTATATTAGCTAACCAAAATTTGCATGAACTTGAGTATTCTTTATTTCGTTATTGTATTAGAAATTGTTCATCATTGCACAAGTAAATCGGAATACACATATACAGGGGGAGGAAAAAATTTTAAGCCTGACATATAGACGGCACTAGATACAAATTGTTCTTGTGCTGTAATTGAAGTACGAACTGTCAATAGTATTGCAGAAAAAAATTGAGTTGATATCTGTCGTCGTTTGTTTTCAACAGCATTGCATACCAAGTAACCTCGATATTTTTGAAAAAATGGATAAAATCGAATATCGTGCGGTGATTAAGTTTCTCACAAAAGAAGGTGTGACACCAAAGGATATCAATGATCGCTTGCGTGCTGTTTATGGGGTCCTTGCCCCATCGTATGCCACAGTAAAACTATGGGCAAAACAATTCAAGTGGGGTAGAGAATCATTGTAAGATGATCCTCATACAGGTCGACCAATTGAAGCAACAGCTTCAGTTGTAGTGCAAAAATTTGAACATCACGTGCACGAAAATCCTCGAATGAGCAAGAAAGTGTTAGCAGCAATGTTTGACATCTCAGAGAAGAGTATTTACAACATACTTCATGAAAAATTGCACATGAGAAAGGTTTGCTTACGATGGATTCCAAGAACGTTGAACAAATCACAAAAAGAAGAACGAATTGCTGCACACACGAGTTTCTCGAGTTGTTGGAATGGAATGAAACGGACACATTTGAGCGAATAGTGCCTGGCGACGATTCCTGGATCCACTACTATGATCCAGAGCTCAAATCACAGACGATGGAATGGCACAAACGTGGTGAACCAGCATCGAAAGTGCCACGCAAACAAATTGCCACAAACAAAGTAATGGCCTCTGTATTCTGGGATTCCAAAGGCATATTATTGGTTGAATTCCTTCCAAAGAATACCACAGTCACGGGCTATTATTATGCTCAACAAATGCATAGATTGCGTAAAGCGATCAGAGAAAAGCGTCCTGGTTTGCTCACTCGAAAAGTTCTTCTTTTGCATGACAATGCACCGCCTCACAAATCATTGCTTGCACAAGCTGCCATCAGGGAATGTGGGTTCGAACAACTCCACCATCCACCGTATTCTCCAGATCTGGCACCCAGCGACTATTTCCTGTTCCCAAACACCAAAAGATATCTAAAGGGGAAGCAATATGAGTCCGAAGAAGAGATATCGAACGATATTTTCAACGTATGGGAGGACAAAGATGCCGAGTGGTTTGAAGGAGGAATTGAAGCATTGAAGCATCGATATGAAAGTGTCATTCGTGTTCATGGAGACTACTTTGAATAATAAATATAGTCATTTAAAAATACAATGTGTGTTTCTATATCAGGCTTAAAATTTTTTCCTCCCCCTGTATTTTTACTAATTCAACCATCGTTAATTTATTCATCGTTATTCGACAATTCTAGGCATTTAATTGGCGAAGTTACAAATAGAGAAATGCGCTGATTGAAAAATGATTTTTTCATTTGAATTTATATTCGAATATTGCAAAAAATTACAATTTGTATCAAAACATACAGTGAATTCAAACTCTTGAACGACACTGTATAAGAATAAATAAACAATTTCGCTTTGTACTCTTGATATTTTCATTGTTCTTTTTTTTTTCTTGTTTCGTCACAAATAAATGCAAGAAAAAAAGAGAAATATGCGCTCATTGCTCATTGGAATGAAATATTGGCAAGACGTCAAATAAATAAATTATATCGATTTCGTTTCCCATGTACACAAAAACAAAAAGAGTTCCAATGTGACCAGATACGATTTCAAGTCTGAAATGGTTCAATACATCAGAAACATTCTAAAAGAGCATAATTTAGAAGAAAACATCAAATAAAAGATCGCTTGACATCTGTTGGAATTTGAAAAGATACCCTTGTGAAAAACCTATTATGTTAATTTTCTTCATTTATAAATAACTTGGAGTTTTTCGTTCCGTAACAATTCCTTGAACTGACAGCCTGATAGTAAAACCGAAATGGAAGAACTTGAGCGTAAAAACATGATGCAAATTCTTCAGCGTATATAGAGAACTTTCAAATTTCAGAACAAAAGGAGTTTGTAAAAAATTGAGAGCAAAAACACAATATATAGATTTTTTGTTTTTGCCCGCAGGCTGGATATGTCGTGTTTTTGCTCTCAAGTTTGTCTATAGTTTTTTTCCTCGCAACAATCGGGATTTTGTTTTTACGCCGGAAAAATTGATTTTTTCATATGCGTGTGATACGACAGTGTCATTCCAGCGGTCTTCCGTGTGTTTCATACAAGCCTCCTATGTACTACTGTGATCAAAAAGTAAGGTGAATTTGTGAATATTTTAGAAAATCTTTATTTATTCTTCCAAATCGATTTCATCGCCTTCAAAGTAATCCCCCCCGGCTGCAATACACATACGCCAACGTTTTTCCCAGTCTTCGAAACAATGTGAAAAGCTACTTTCTGGTATGGCCTTCAATTCATGTAGCGATTTACGTTGAATCTCTTCAATCGACTCGAAACGATGTCCACGAAGCGGTCTTTTGAGTGTAGAGAACAGCCAGAAGTCACACGGTGCCAAATCGGGCGAATATGCAGGTTGATGAACGATATGAGTCTGAAATCATTTCTTGACACACATTAACACGACGCTCTTTTTCGAATAAATTCAATGTTTTTGGTACCAATCGAGCTGCACAACGACGGAGACCTAAATGATCTTTCAAAATTGTTTGAATTGATCCAAATGAAATGCCAGTAATATCTACAAGGTCTCTGATTGTCAATCGACGATTTTTCAGCACAAGATCTTTGATTTCCTTGACGTGTTCCTCATCAGTTGATGTTGATGGTCGTCCCGAGCGATCTTCGTCTTCAACGCGTTCTCTGCCTTCTTTGAACAATTTATGCCATTTGAAAGTATTTTTTTGCGACATGGCCTGTTTACCGAAGGCCTTCTGCAACATTCTGAACGTTTCCGCACCAGAAATTTCATTCCGCAAACAAAATTTAATACAATATCTTTGCTCAACAAAATCAGTCATTATGAAAATCGCCAAATGAAAATTTCTTGATGTAAACAAAGTAGCGTAGCTCATAACCTAATCGAAATACTGTAATGAAATGTTACACAGTTATCAAAAACAGTGCTGCCAACCTAATAAAAAAAGAATTTCGACGATTGCATTTCCCCGCGAAGATTGAATAACAAATTCACCTTACTTTTTGATCACAGTAGTAAATGGTAAAAATTGCGAAAAATGAAAAAAAATAATTAAATTTTTTTTCTTCAATTCTCAAATACTACTCAACTTTCTGTATCATCTGATGAAATCAGAATGAAAAAAATCGCATTCCTTATCATCCAAATCACGATCTGGATTTTTTTCACTTTTGGAGTGCTCTATACCGAGTCATTGAATGCTAACCGAATGCCAATCTCGATTTTGATGATAAGGAATGAAAGTTTTTTCATTCTGATTTCACCAGGTGATACAGAAAATAAAGTAGTATTTGTAAATCGAAGAAAAAAAATTTAATATTTTTTTTAATTTTTCGCAACTTTTTCACCATTTACATGGGCGGAAGATCGCTTAGTGGTGTTCGAGAATTGGGAAAAAAATGTTTTTTTTCTTTCACTTTTTGTGCTCTATACCGGTCTCCGAGAGTTTCATATAAACTTGCTATTTGATGCCTATTGAATAGTAAGCGAATACTAATCGTTATTGAATCAATAGGCGTCATTTGGCTATTGCAAGGCGAGTTTATATGAAACTACTCGGTATAAAGCACAAAAAGTGAAAGAATTTTTTTTTTATAAATTCTCGAACACCACTAAATGCTCTATATCATTTGCTGTGAAAACTTTGCTGTCTCTTTCACCCAAATCCTGCTTGGCAAATGGCAAGTCGTTGTCTCATACTGTCACGCTTACCCTTGCATCTATAAATGTTTACAATGGACATTCTATTCACACACAACTCACATTTATATTTTGCTGCGCAATAAAAATCGTCGACACAAAACTCAAAGCGATGACCAAACACAATGTTAATAATTTTATTGCGCAGCAAAATATAAGTGCGAGTTGTGTGTTAATAGAATGTCCGTTGTAAACAATTATACATGCAAGGGGGAGCGAGATAGCATTGGACAACGATTTGGGTGACAAAGATGACAAATTTTTACGTTATGATCACACCACATCATATAGACCATTTAGTTGTGTATAAGAATTGAGAAAAAAAATCTATTGTTTTTTTAATTTTTGAGTGCACTATACCGAGTCTCCGAGAGTTTCATATAAACTCGCCTTGCAATAGCCAAATGACGCCTATTGATTCAATCACGATTGGTATTCGCTTACTATTCAATAGGTATCACATAGCATGTTTATATGAAATTCTCGGAGACTCGGTATAGAGCACTCAAACAGTGAAAAAAGTCCAGATCGTGATTTAGATGATATGGAATGCGATTTTTTCCATTCTGATTTCACCAGGTGATACAGAAAATTGAGTAGTATTTGTAAATCGAAGAAAAAAATTTAATTATTTTTTTCATTTTTCCTGATTTTTTATCATCTACATGATATATGGTCCGTCTCGCTCATAAAAAATCCATTTTGTCGGCGTAAAAACAAAATTCCGATTGTTGCGAGCAAAAGAACTATAGACAAACTTTAGAGCAAAAATACGACATATCGCTTATTTACTTTTGCTCGTTTGTAGGGTATGTCGTGGTTTTGCTCTCAACTTCGTGTGTTGCATTTTTGCGCTCGATTATGGTATGTGATATTGTTTTACAATAAGAAAATTTTTACGCATAAGAAAATTAAGTGTTGGTTTAACTATGAGGCTGTCAACTATGTCGGCGAGCTTTAGAAATTATTAGTTTCTCAAATGATTCGGTGGGAGCGATTATTGTATTGTTCAATACAAATTTATTTTATCGATTCCACCAATACGACATCTATTAAAAAAGATACCGATTTTTATTGCTACTGTTGCTTTGACACAGCTCGAGCGAACTATACGGCTATGGCTGTATTACGTAATACAAATTACAGACGAACTAATTCAAAAGAACGCACAGACTCCGATCTTGTGTATGCGTATGTATTGTAAATTTTGCAAAAGCAGCTACGATTGACGACTGAGTGCAGAATTTGCAATATACATGCATACACAGAATCGGAGTCAGTATATTCCTTTGTTTGTTTACTCGAGCTATAATAAAACACCACTAGTACCAGAAATTGGCGAGTTTTTTAGTAGATGTCGTATTGGTGAAATCGATAAAGAAAAATCTACGATATAAGTGCTCGACTATATTATACTTTCTATAAAGTATAAACTTATTTCCAGAACAAGTTTAGATATATTGTCCCAAAACAATCGACTAACTATCAATCAACAATTTTTCACAAGGGCAAAACAGTACCTTTGTAAAGAATGTACACATGTATCAAAATTCTGTTTGAACAGAAGAAAATAATTTGTACTTTTAAGTCACTCATAATGTTTTATTCAATACCGACACTTTCGGTCCAATAGGCATCAATGAAATGGGAAAACAATTTCCAACAAAAACACACCATTAAATATTGTTCCCTTGGCGCGTTATAGTGTTGCTGTTTTGTCATTGCATTCGTTTCGATTTTATTTCTATTTGCTTCTTCTCATTATGAAGCACACTTCAAATAGATCGCATTGAAGATAAAAGAGGAGAAATAAAAATAGTATGTGCAAACACCAAAGTATAATACAATGTTTATTCACAAATTTCAACAGCAAGAATTTGATTGCTTTTCATTTGCATTACGAATGTATTTGAACCTCAGATATATAAATTACTCGTAAAATTGAGAAACTTATGTATTTCTCGTTAATATGATTTTTTTACTTGAAATGATACACGACAAAAATATCCGTTTGCTTCAAAATTATTTATATCGCTAATTGCCAATTGCGTCGTTTCTTCGAAATAGATCGATTAAGCATTACTGTTGTTTCTTTTATGTATCATACGATACGTCTAGGTAATTTCAAAACACTAGAAAAACTAGCAGCACTAGTGTACTCACTAGTAAGCGATTAGCGAATACGTAAATAAAACTAGCTTACTAGAATTGCAACGAATGTCCCCTAGGATTGAATAGTAGCAGTAAGTCTGCCACCGTAATTAAATCACTGTAGTCCTACAGTTTGATTCACAAAAATGTGTACCTATTGTTTGCTTAAACAAAGACATAATCTAAAATCCAAATTTTAATGTGTGAATAATGTCTTGACAATCACAAACAAACAAATGAAATACATACTATTTTATCCAAAATTATTCAATTCAATGGTTATTAATGGCATTTGTCTATTTAACAGTCGGGCGCTTAAGAAATTCCATAAAAATTGTTGAAATAACAAAAACTACAATATCGGCTACTACAATGCAAACCCTGATCAAGATAATTCATATTTAAACTTCACCATTGCTATTGATTTCAAATGTTTCTCGTTTGATTGCATTCTTTTTTCAATCCACTTTTTTGGTTTATTTAAATAGAAATGTAGAAAAGAAAAGAACGAAACTTGACGGCGGCGGATAGCTGGAGATCGTTAACAGCCTTTTCTTGATCTGTTTTTTATAGCATTTATTATGTGAACATGTTTTTCAATTCAACCCATTTCATCTTCAGATGGTATTCATTCAGTAATATTGATAAATGCATTTTTATTTATTGCCTAGAAATGTTGGAGGAAGAAATTACAGATAAATGATAATTATGACAGTTTCGGATCCCATACAATAATCAGATATGTTTGCATTTTAAGCCGGTATGATTCTAAAAGAATCAATCAATTGCGTGTGTCGAGATAACAGATATATCATGGCGGAAAACCTTTGAAGCTTCTTAATTTTCGATTTGACATTGATGGTATCCAAACGCTACAGTGGACAGCAAGAGAAAACAATATATAAAAATACTATAAATCGTTTCAGAAGCACTTACAAGTGGCTTTTAAGAGCAAGTATCCATGGTATAAGTACAATATTACGTAAAAATATATATGTTTCGTCTTCTACTTTTTTTGCTAATGTAAAACAAGTCAATTTTCTGGCTAATTTAATATTTGACAATAAATTCAATCGGTAATCGTTCACGACTTTTTAATGCTCTTATTGATATGCAATCTCGGGTACTTTCATTTATGTATTTGCTGGAAAATATACACAAAATTTAATAACTGTATGACTGATCGATACTATCAGTCATTTTCCGTTTCAAACAGTGCCCAGACATTTCATTCCAACCATAAGCATTTTTTCTTATTAGATAGCATGACCCATGGTTGTAAGCATTAATATGCAAAATAAACAACTAGTTAGTTAACTATTACCGCTCATCGATTACAACAGCGGTGTCATTGCGTTTGCATGTTGATAAATTTTGGTATTTTTTCCCACCAGACAAATATATGCATTCTATTAACCAAAACGATAGACTAAAGAGAAACATCATGTAATCAATCATGCTGGTTCTTTGACAAATTTATTTATTTATTAGCTAAATGATTGCCTTAAGATAACATTTCATCAAAAAGCGGTAGCTATTACAGGAACGACAGGTTGTTAACTATCAGTTTTTATTTTTGTTCCAACTGAAAGAATTTAAAAAGAGCACCTAAATTTTAAATCAATCAGTCTTTCATTTATCTACTTTTCTTTTTCAACTTATTTATTCCATCTGCCATTGATCCGATTCTGTTTGCTTCACTGAATTCGACCCAATTCATACTTATTGTGACGTACACACTATAATTTTTTTTATTTTATATAAATATGTATATATCGATGACAAATGTCGCATATCAAAAATGTCATCAATCGAATTAAATATTTTGGACAACCACTAAAAAAATTGTCTTTTTGTGTTAATTCAAAAGTTAAAGTTGTGTGAGTGTCTATTTTTTTCAAAAAGGGAAATCCAGGATAAATTGAGAATCATTTAAAGAATAAGTAAAAGTTTCATGTGTTACTCCCATCGAATATGATCATTTCCATATCAGGTATTCAGGATAACAAAAACTCGAGATTG